TATAAACAAAATAAAATAAAATAAATGTATCAAAAAAGTTACCATATTATCTTAAATTAAAATTAGCAAATTATATATACACACTGTCATTCAAAAGTTTGGGATCAGTAAGATTTGTGATGCTTTTTAAATAAGTTTGTTATGCTCAGCAAGGCTGCATTTATTTGATCAAAAATATAGAAAAAAATATATAATAATCTTGTGGAATATTATTGCAATTTAAAATAATGTTTTTTTTATTTGAATGTACTTTAAAATATAATTTATTCCTGTAATGCAAAGCTGAATTTTCATCATCATCATTACTCCAGTTTTCAGTGTCACATGATCCTTCAGAAATCATTCTAATATCCTGATTTAATATTAATATTGGAAACCTGTGATACATTTTTCAGGATTTTTTGATGAATAAAAAGTTAAAAAGCTTTTATTCAAAATAGAAAAAGCTATATTCTGATTGGCGAGCTTCACAGAACTTTCAGGAGTAAGCGCTGACGATTAAGTCTATCTGAAAACAAGGTTATGTTTACAAGTTTCCGGGTTGATACAATGAGTAGAGAATGAAATAACCACTAGAAAGTTTACCATTTTAAAGGCTTCGAAATTACTTAATTATTCAAATGTATTTAATTTAGATTTTTGAAAGTACCATGTAAAATGGATATCCACAAGCTGAAGTGTATTTGGCTTTCTTATGTCTGTGAAAAGGTCTCCACTTTAGAGTTTTCTTTTTTCTTTTTTCTCATTGTGGATAAACTTATCATGGTGATGCTGCGATATAGTGATGTTATAATTGTCTAAACTTTTCTCTCTCTTTCTTTTTCTTTTCTGTAGGTCCTCCAGTCATTGTGGGAATGAGTATAAATATTGCCAGTATTGACTCCATCTCAGAAGTCAACATGGTTAGTAACATTGATTTGGCATTACTGATATTACTGGTGTTGCTAATTGTTGTTTTTGCACAATTAAAAATATGGGTAAAACACCAAAGTTCCTTTATTTTAACACAGTACATTGGGCTGAATTTTACAGACTTTTTTTGAGTATAAGTTAGCTGTGTTTCTTTAGAAACATACAGTATGTTTAAGAGCTGTTTTATTGAGTCTTCATGGTGTTGTGTAAGAAAATTATCAGTATGGATGATTATGTATTACTGCGGTCATGAGCATTTATGTAGCACCAGTAGACCTTTTGGCTTTGGACCATCACCTCAAGTTAAACACCACCCTGGAGCCCTTAAAAAGCAGTTTACTTAAAGAGCAGTCGTCTAAATTTCTGCTGACAACTCCCTATACATACTTACTGTGGAGACCCCATGCAGACTTACTGCATTCATCATTTCTTCATGCAGAGTGTGTCACATGATCCTTCAGAAATCATTCTAATATCCTGATTTAATATTAATATTGGAAACCTGTGATACATTTTTCAGGATTTTTTGATGAATAAAAAGTTAAAAAGCTTTTATTCAAAATAGAAATCTTTTGAAACAATATTGTCACGCTTCCTACTGTGAGGAGGAGCGAGGAGTATTGATGTTAGGTTCTTGAACGAATCGTACTTTTGAGCCGGTTCTCAGGAAGTAACCGGTCGAGCCGATTCATAAATCGAACTGAATCGAACTTTAGTTCTGGGTTGATGACGCAGGATTTATTAGCGCCTCGGCTTCAATGCCTGCGGCCTGAATCCATAAAGTACCCCAGAGAGGAAGTGCTGCACCTGGATCGGTTTTCCTCAGGTTACTGTCGGATAATACAGCAGGTTTGACAGCAGGAAATATGATCTTAGATTAGATTTCTTATTGGGAAATTTTCAAAGAACATGAGGAAAATAAAGCTGCTTCCACATTAGTTTGATTCAAAAATAAAAAATCATGGTTTTCGAATAAAACTTGTTGGAAAATGAACAAGCAAACAATAATAGTTGACGATACTGTGCAAGACTGAGGCGCGTACTGGAAATATGCTTATTATGACTGTTATTAATTTACATTTGATTAAAACATGCAAAAACCTTTCTGTCGAGTGATGTAACTAAATTTTACAATAGTATATTGTGCATGCATATTATATATAAAGTTGCTTAAGCGAAATCAAGGAGTTTATAAGACTGGTTTATTCATTCTTTATACTGTAGACATGTAGAACATATCCGCGTTTGTGCATCAATGTCTGTAATGTGTGCTGTAGGTGTGAAACTTTTAGGAATCTTATCCAAGTTGTAGGCTAGTCAATATTGCTCAGTCAGTCGTATCTGAGGATCCGCGAATTAAACTGACCACAAACACCATTAACTTAAGTGAATTATATGGCAATAATACGGTGGCCGAGAGAGCTCAACGCGCTGTAACTAAAGAAAACACATGCAAATTGAAAAAACACCAGCAAATTAAGAAAACATCTTCATCAGCTAGTGTCACTATAAGGACATGTCCCTGTCTCAAACTATTCACTAGCGACAGGCCAGAACTGTGACATTAAAGGTAAACAGCAAAGAAATATGCATATCCATTGTACACTTGTAAGTCTTCCAAAAATAGCTACACTTCAAAAACAGTACAGTACTTAAAATGCATTCAAACTAAATTGTATAGACCCTAATTTGGAAGTTTGGAGCTCAAAGAAAATATCCACTGGCAATGAGAATATTATGGTAGCATTCGTGTGCACGCATTTCATAAATGCAATCACTCTGACATTAACTAAATGTAGCAGGAACATCTAGTGTAGTATTTCCTAGTTTAAAACCCCAAATGTTTTAACTAGAAATTAGTTTTATTATTAATCTGACTCATTTATGTGAGTATCACTGCTGAATTGTTGTAAACCAATCGTCAGGTTTAGACAGTGTTTATGCTGCAGGCCGTCTCCTTCATGTGATGCTTGCATTAAACTGCAGGTGTGTTAATTAGCTCTGGTCACAGCATTATCAAGCTCCAAGTGAAATTCAATTAAAATCCGATGACAGTGAGATTTTTATAGATTCAACTTTGCATGAAATCGCTCCCAGGCATTGAAGGGACAACACACTAGCTTCACGAATGCTTCATTTAATTGACAGAATGCGCAGACATAACGGTCTAAAATCATTTAGTGGTTTCTGGTTAAATTATTATTTTGAACATTTTATAATTATTAACCAATAATTACAGATTTACCACATATCTCATACTGAGTCTTTTATTTTTTTTTTATTCTGTTTAATTTTGATGTTTAATTAATGTTTATTCCTAGTAAATGGAAGTTGTAAGTAAAATACACCATATAATCAACAAATAGTTCCTTATAGTGGAAGTTACCTTCCAGTCACACATGAATCAGTTATATAAACTGATATTCATGATGTTTTGCACAGTATGTCTTCGTCTGTGAGTATTAATTAATAATTGTGAATATATAAAAATTGTGGATTGCGGTTCAGCTTCTTTGCTGCATGCAGTTCTATGGATCATCGCAACAAATGTTCACTTGGCAGAGGGCAGATTTGCCTTACAGTTTTGTAAAAATGGCAAAACTTATTACAAATTAATAGAAAATTAAACATGATATTTAGTTTGACCTTCTGAGGTAGACTAGCAACATTTTCTGATAATTTGTTGAAAAAGAAACAAAAAATACTAGTTTCAATTTCTTTGAACTGTGGTGTTTTGAAGATACTGTACCACAAGGTCTTCAATCGGATGTTTCGTTTTACTTCCCTTTCCCTGGACATTAAAAAAAAAAAAAAAGTATTGAAAAGGTGCTGTGCTACATCTGAGAGGCAAAGGGTTGAAAAAACCCCAACAACTAAAAGTCACGATGAAATGGAAGTAGTGACAGATCTTATTTGTTTTATTTTTTTTCAGTATATCCAAGTGTAATGGACTAGACAAAGAAGAAATGTAGGGTTCATGACTTGGTTCTATGCATTGATTATTGATTGGATTTTAAGATGTGAGCATTGAACTCAGATAAACCTGAGTTTGTAGGGGCAGGATTTATGTGAACTAAAATATTGGAGCCTGAATATGTAATTTTCACCAGAAGGTATAGTTATTACATTTCAATTAAACAAATATTATTAATAGTTAGATATTACATATAATTTGGTAGTAAAACAAAGAGTTGCACGTTTTATTGGTGCAAATGAGTAGTGGTGATCATTATTTTGTACAACATTTTGCAACTGCTTTTTATAACTTAATTAGAAGCACCACAAAAGTAAATTTTGTCATCTGTTATAGGAACTGAGTAGTGGTGATAATTATGTTGTACAACATTTGCAACTGCTTTTTATCACTTACTGTAATTTGAAGCACCACGAAATTAAATAGTGTCATCTGTTATAGGGACTACTGAACAGACATTTAGAAGTTGATTTAAAAATGCAAAGTATTGAAAATAAACAATTATTATTATGCATTTTTACAACACTATAAGTGTGTCCCATCAGGTAATGGAAAGTTCTACACACACTTGAGGTCTTCATGCTCACTTGGACCAAATACAGGAAATACGAAGTAGTCAAGTGGTCAAGTGCAAAGACCGCAAGTGCGGGTATCTGAACAAGGGGTTTGCAGGGCAACGGCACTCCAGGACCGACGTTGTCTATCCCTGGACTAGTGTCTGTGCTTTATCATTAAAATCCAGTTGACAGTAAGCATTAAAGCAGCACTGAGTCATATCAGTAGTGGATCTAAAGAGTGTCCCCAGCCAATCCTGTTTGGCTTACATCCAAAAGTCACTGCTCAAATGAACCTAATCCCGTCAACGCTGTATATGTTTGTTGCTCATTTAATCAATATCACGTTGGTACACATCTTAATCCATTTCATAATGTTTTCATTACCTTCTCGTTGAATAGAAATGTTTTATAGTGAGTTTGCCCTCCTCCATGTTACAGTTCTGTCAAACCAGAGCAAACACAAGGGAACAAAAAATCAAAAACATCAAAAGTGTTATTTTTGCCAACTAAAGCTATATGCCATTTGAAGAATTAAAGGACAGTTTGTTTTGGAAATAACTGTAAATAATAAAGACTTTCATCCCTCTGATTTTGGGTTACGAGTCTGACTCTCTAACCATTAGGCTACAACTTCCCCCAACTTGTGTGACATCATTCTTTAATTCATTATTCATATCAGTATCAAAGTTCTTTGTTTAACTTTAATCATAGGTAAAACTTCATGTCACACTTGCTAGCACAGTTAGGGACAGGTTATCTATGGGAAAGCTTCTATTTGGGGTGTGTGTTAAAGATATCTGTTAATGGTTCACAGCACTGACAAACCGTGTTGAAAATAAAGGTGCTAAAAATATTGGGTGGAAAGTGTGATCACATGAAGAGGCTTTGCCTTTTTTGAGTTCAGCTCGGCTTCGAACTTCGTTGTTCAAATGATATCGAAAAAAATGCTGTTGGTTTGTTCAGTAGCTCATGTGATACGGTGTTGCACTTGTGAGGTGAAGCGCTCTGGTAATAGCCCGGTTGCATCAGCAAATGCGTTTGTATATCATTTTTGCATTTGTTAACACTATTGGGTAGGTTAAGGGTTGGGTTTGGTGTAGGGGTATGTTATTTTCCAACACGATAGAGCATTAACCTTTTAAGACAAATGAATTCTGAACCGCCTCAATATACCTGAAGTAACATAATAGAAACGCAGCAATACATGCCTGTATCAACATAATAAAAACATGGCCACGGTGACGCATTGAACGCGCATTTTAGCACCGCTCACTGGACATTTCATTTTGAAACTGCCGCGAAATGTGCCGTGAGGTACGTAATATCAGTGTTGCAGAAATGTCACCACGATCACGTATTTCCAGTGAGCCTGGGTTACATCTGAATCACATTAATTCAACAATATAGGACTGCCATTGTATAGGACAACAATATAGGCTGCGCTGTGCCACATCCAGTGTAGACAGCATCACTGATTATAATGGGTTCTAATTGCTTTTGATTCATCGTATGATGCTGCTCATTCCCTTACAAAAAAATAACTATGGTTTTACTACAAATAAAACCCAAAAAACATGTTTACTATAATACCATAACACTACTATAACCATGGTAACCTCAATTTAAATAAATAGTTTTGCAACACTAGCCATAGTTTAGCCATGGTATTTGTAGTAAAACTGTGGTTATACAAATGGTAATCAATATGCCAAAAAAACATGATTACTACAATTTTACTATAATAAAACTTTTCATTTTTAATTCATTTATTCAGTTTAGACAAGGTGTAATAATATATATATATAATTATAATTTTTTTTACACACTGAGGAAGGCTTTGAGCCGAAACGTTTGTGTCTTTTCCCATCAACGATGAATGTAAAATAAAACGAAGTTTTCGTTGAGTGCGGATCATGATCTCCTATACTAAGTAATTTAACAGATTGACGCATCAAAATAAAAAAGATTAAGTGACGGAAGAGCGTGGTGCAACTGGCGTTGTTGAAGGTGTAATAATATAAAATTTGGTAAATGTATTATTTAAACTTATTACACGGCTCTGTGGAATACTTGATTCTTATTGGTCAGTCGTGACATTCTGAGGTATGTTATCCCTCGATAACAACCGGTAAAAGCTGATAACACAGGCTCATCTGGGTAACTGTAATCGGCACTTAACACTCTTCTTTAACACACTTAACACAAGCTAGTATCCCTTAAATGTCTGTCTAGTTTGAACTTGCCGCTTGCTCGCAACTGCTGTCTTCACGGAAGCTTTGCGTTCAAATATTTAAACTCAAATCAAGATTTCGTGTCTAATTATTTACTTATGTGGCAAGTAGCTGGGTAATAAGCAGGATAATGAACATCCAGCCGGTTGTTATCGCAGAATAACTCCATTCAGGGTGATATTATCCCTTACTTAGTTTTATATATTAACAGTCAACCATCTGAACTCACGCATAAAATCACCTCTAAATGGTTACACATAATATGGAACATCTAAGAACTGTTGTCTCAAATGTCATCCTTTTTTTTTTTTGGACAAACAGAGGCACAAGTATAAAAACAAACCACTCTGCCTCCTTACTCTCCTATGCATTAACCCAGAACCGCACCGGCAAGGCAGAGAGTTCGCTCTGGGTGCCCCACTCAGTCAAATTATCAATAATGAAAGATGACAAACTGTTTCCTCTTCCAAGAGGCTCTGGCACAGGTGGAATTCAGGAATCTCAGCGAGGCCACGGTTTCTTTTTTTTTTTTCCTGAGCGTCTCTCAAACCTGCACTGCTGTAGATAATTGAAATGTTGGGGAACTACAGCATGTTTGCTGTATTGATATGTCTACTCTTAATAACGTCTTAAGATGGGTCTTTGCTGGCTGTAAATTATTCATGAGTCAGGGCTGTTGTTAATGTTTAATTATCATATCATGCCCTGCTGTGTCTAAAAAGGGATTTCGAATTAATGCGCCTTAGTCAGCTTTAGTAGATCGAATTAATGTGCCTTAGTCAGCTTTAGTAGAGCTACAGTATGTATGCAAAGCATCCTCCATATGACCCACAAATGTACAGAGTTATAAATATGCAGTGGTTTGTGCTTTATGGGGATTTGGAGGAGAAAGCTAATGCTCATATTGAAGGGTTTTAGGCAAGCAAAGTATTTTATAGATTGTTTACACTGGGCATCTAAGGTAACTGACTGTTTACTCCACATTTCCAAGAACGCATGATAATGAAGAAATATGAGTGACATGAAATGAAAACAAAAACACAAACAAGCAGCTGCTATTGCATAAAGCATGTTATATATACTGTAAATAAAGTGCTATAACGGATGTTGTTTGCTCCTTAGCCACATGCAGAGGTTTTGAAAGGTTTTGAAGCTAAAAACAAACACAACCCTGCATGTTAATTATAGGACGCTCACAGTAAAATGCACAGAAGGCAGTGTAATAGCTACATTACTATGTTACACCCATGCTCTGTTACCTAATTTAACTCCACCGTCATGTGTATGCCGTTTGCTGTTGCCATGTTCACTGCTAGTGTCCGTCAAAGTTATAGTTATATAGCATTTATATAGTTATATAACACTACAAGAAATGACAGGGTTATTTTATAAATGTATTCAAATATAAATTACTAATAATGACTTGCTTTACAGTCATGTTATACAAATATTACAATATTGAAGTAATGCAATATGACTACTTCTGGATTACCTCAAGATCATAGGCACACATAAATATTACAAATATTAATATTAATATAATAAATATATTTGTTTTATTTTTATTTTTTTATGTGATTTTTTTTGGTTACACTTTATTCCGATAGTCCACTTTAGACATTCTACTAACTATAAGTAACTTTGTAACTACATGTCAACTACATGTAAACTAATTCTCATTAATTTGCAACTACATGTCTACTAACTCTCAGAGTAGACTGTTAGGGTAGGTTTAGGGTTAGTAGAATAAGTTGACAAAGAAAGTGTTAGAAGATATTAAGCAGACAGTCTACTAATACTCTACTAACTGCTAGTTGACATGTAGTTGCAAAGTTACTTACTGTTAATAGAATGTCTAAAGTGGACTATCGAAATAAAGTGTTACCCCCTTCAATTCTGCATTTTATTTATTTCATTTGGAATTATTTAAAAAATTTTTTTGCATTTATGCAGTTACAATTTGTTCAAGTTTATTATTATTATAATTATTCATCAGCCACAAAACTGTATTGTGCATTATTTTCTATTCTAAACTATATACAGTGCAGTATTTTTGTTGTCTTATTTCCTTATCACAGTGGGATTATGTATCTGTTTTCCTTGCATATAAGTGACAGACAGAGCAGGTCGTTTGTCACTCGCAACATCATAGACGAGATGAGTCAGTCTCCATCTTTCAGCGAAATGGCAGCTGTCACAAAAATGCGTAGACGCATCATGATTTTGCTCCTGTTCAATTTATTTTGGAGGCTTAACACAAGGAAAATTTCACGTTTTGCTACATTGAGTTCTCGGGAAAGACTTCCACCGTGTCCTAACTAGATGCAATGCGACAAGATTCTAACGAATCTGTGATTTGTCTGACCACACCAGACACGCAACAAAATAAATCACAAATCACAGCCAATCAGAAGAGAGTCGGGGCGGGCTCTCTCTGCAAGTGCACTGCTGTCTTGCACTTGCAATGAAATGGATAAGTACATTTAAAAAAATGCTAAATATGTACAGTGACTGTTGTGGAATGGAATGGAATGGAATACACTTGTTTCTTTACACAGAGTTCACAGTATAAAGTACATCCTTGATATATTTTCAAGATCTGAAAATGATCCGCTGTTGCTGTCATTATGGCTATTAAAGTCACACACAATGATATACAAACTCAAATTAAACCATTAAAATATTTTACAAAACCGAAACTAGAATCCCCTGTTACTCATCGCATTTCACTGAGTACGTTTACATGGACAACAATAATCCGATTTTAACACGATTAAGACAATATTCTGATTAAGAATCTACCATGTAAACAGAAATTTTTGATTACCTTAATCCGGCTAAAGTCATATTCGAAGTACACAGAAATCGAATTAACACATGTGGAGTATTCCTATTTTATTCGCATTACTGAAGTGCAGTATAGACATGTAAACACCTTAATCAAATTATTACCGTCGTGTTGGACTTTTCGCCACATTTTGCGACAGGATACACACACGGCAGTGGTGAACCGTTTGACGGCAAATAAAAGAGCTTCAACACCGCCATCGTCTGTATGCACGTAATAATAATAATCAGATTGAATTGGATAATAATTAACTGCACTTGAAGCTTTCATAAAATTAAAAATGAAACACCCAAAACTGTACATGGCATCATCACGAAGACGAACTCTATGTTTATACGTGAAATTCCGGAGGGGACGTCAGATGGCGTCACGTGGGGACGTAATGACGTGTGCCATTAATCGAACTATATACTATAACATGTAAAACGGGAACATGAAAGGAATATTCTAAAAGCAACTCCATAATCATAATATTGGCTTATTTAGAATTAAGTAAATAATTAGATTACTGATGTCCATGTAAACGTAGTCACTGTCACAGGCGGTTAAAGCAAAAACTCTGAATACCATTGAAAGATATGTTTGATCATGTGTTGTGGTGCGTCTGGTTAGGACATGGTGTTATTCTGAATTACATGCAGCTTTGAAGAATCCCACATTGTCACTTTATAGACTACAGTCTTGAATGATACTCCATACATCAGAGCTGTTCACTAAAGTGCACACGTCTGTCAGCATCAGATTTGAGCAGCTAGAAGGTCCCTGGAGAGACTGAGTCAGCACTGAGTATGTGGCTCCAATAATTCCCAAACCCAGCATGAAGTCAGACTAGACGAATGGGATAAGAGAATGAGATCAGAGGAGAATAAGACTGTCATATTGATGATTAAATATGATATGGATATACTGCATATCAAAATGATTTTTAATGCTAAGAGAAATTAAGAATACTCATGCATCTCATCTGCACTGAAAAAAAGGTGTTGAAACAATTCTCATAAATAGTCAATTAGAAAACATTTTTTTTTTTTTTTACTTTTATGGGAAAGAGCTCATACATTTTGGAATGACATTAGTAAATAATGACAGAGGCTTCATTTTTGTGTGAAATATTACTTAAAATGCTGAGGGAGCAGGGAGATGCATTTCTGATCAGCATTTTGTCTCAAGGTACCCAGAAGCAGCTGTGCAACATGTTGAGAAATGAGCTCCCTGTTTTGAAGCATTGTCAAAATGTTCTGCATAGCTGTTTAAATCTGACCAGTTCTTGCATTTGGTTGATGGTGTGCTCTGAACTTAGCGTACTCAGTGATTTAGTGATTTGTGTGTACACAGGCTAAGCAGAATAATAATATAATATAACTTAACATAACATAACATAACATAACATAACATAACATAACATAACATAACATAACATAGCATAGCATAGCATAACATAACATAACATAACATAACATAACATAACATAACATAACATAACATAACATAACATAACATAACATAACATAACATAACATAACATAACATAACATAACATAACATAACATAACATAACATAACATAACATAACATAACATAACATAACATAACATAACATAACATAGCATAGCATAGCATAACATAATATAATATAATATAATTTGTTCACTCATCCAGTTGCAACATTATAACTAACAGATGAAGATATGAAAAAAATGAAGAATAGTCCACATAAAAAAAGTAAATTTTCATAATTTACGTACCATACTCTTATATCATGTCATGCCAGGTTAGATGTCAATGTCCTTGTCATGTGTCACGACTGATTACAATGTGTCAAATTTAAATATATGCATGCAAAATTGTGAATTGAAAGCTATGACGATGGGGAGGAATATTACTGAAAAAAATAAGTATTCCTTTACATGTACCTATAAGGATAAGCATATTTCTATTCAGACCAGTTTAATGAACCATTTTGTAAATCGGTTTGGCCAATTGACTGAAAAGAAACTAACATACACTATGGCTTGCATATACATTTCAGTGTTCTTTTTTTGCATCAAGCTCCCTTTTTTACTAATAATCATTGCTTGATTTAATTAATATGTATGCGATGTTTCTGGACTGGCCAACCATCTAGGATATTTTCCTGCCTGCGGCCCAAGACTCTGAGCATCCCAACACTTAATATTGTGATTAATATTTTGTGATTTTTGTCACAAAAATTACGGTAACACTTTATTTTGATGGTCCATTTTGAACATTCTGTTGACAATAAATAACGTTGCACCTACAAGTCTACTAACTCACATTAGAGTATTAGTAGAAGTTATGCTTAATATCTGCTAACTCTTTATTGTGATGGTCTCCCAACAGACATTCTACTGACTATAAGTAACTTTGCAAGTACATGTCAACTTATTCTAACCCTAACCCTACCAGTCTACTAATTCTTCACTAACACTCTAATGAGAGTTAGTAGACATGTAGTCGCTACTTTACCTAAAGTCAACAGAAAGTGTTAAAGGGACCATCAAAATAAAGTGAAACCAAAATGACACATTGACATTTAAAATTTGCTAATTTATGAAGTGGCTTTTTTTTATGTGTGAGTATGTGTATGTATATATTTTTTTCTGCTTCTTATTTAATATATTTCCCTTCTTTGTATCTATCTCACCTTGCAACCAATCAACATCCAAAACCTCAAGACCTCAAACACAATTTGCTTACCAATAATTACATTTTCCTCCTTTTTTTTTTTTTTTTTTTTATTACCTTTTTTATTGCTTAATGTTTATTGTACTTTTTCACTCTCTCT